TGACAGGCTGAATTTCTTTCCATCACATTTGATTCTGCTGCTTGTGTGTAAATGTGTCCTTAAGAGAATGCAGCAACTGGAAGAGGTTGAATCTTTTGTCAGATTAGTACATAGCCCTGGCCTTTTGTGATTGACTTTTTAATTGGTTGGCAAATGGAATTTCCTTTCTTCCTCTCTCAGTTACTGGAAGTCCTGGAATTCAAAAATTTTTTAAATTGTTTCATAAAAGCACCTTCCTTTACTCCCACTTTTAATTATTATTTCCCCACTGCTTTAAAGAAAGTCTTGAGATCTGATGGTTAAAATGGTCACTTTAAAAGCAAATGGGTTTCTGTATCTATCAGATTGTTCAATTCATATAAGACTCTGAGCCTGTCACTGATCCCATGGCACCATGTCTCTTTTCTTAAGGAGGGGTTAATAACTATTATGCTGAGTTATTATAGAGAAAAGTATTGAAAATGGATAGGGTGTTTGTAAAGACCAGGGAAATTCTAAGTTTCAGAGCTCTGTAGAGATTCCAAGCACTGTATTACTTTGATAGTATTTGCTTTCAGACCTTTCAGTAGTTCAAATTACCCTTGTGGTAGTAAATGTAGTATCATGGTGAACATGTTTGTCCTTTCAAAATTAGTTTTAAAAAATGATCAAAGCTTGTATTTGCCAAGTAAAATTAGCTGAGGACCCTGCTAAAAATAACTGGGAAAAAATCATGGCAAGGAACTCATTCTGACTATAGAATAGTGTTTTTCTCTTTTTAAATATTGGTATTTGGAGAAATGTATCCTGTTTTCACTCTATTTTAGAGTGCACTCTCCAATATCTATTGCAACCACTTACATTTTAATTTTCTTAAGTGGTTTCCTTGATGGATATTTTATTATAGGAAGTATGGGACAGTCTTGCCATCAGGGTGGGCCCTAGACAAAATTGTGGAGTAGATAAATTTTATCTCTTTCTCACTGGTGACATTCTTTGATCTCCTTGTATCTCTGCCCAGTCCTGCAAACTAGGTTTGCTTATGTTATCCTTTGATTTCTTAGAGCTGGGGTACTTGCCTTTTTCTGACCTTCCATGGCAGTGTTGCATATTTCACACTTTTAATCTTCTTCCTTCTCATTCAAAACTTTTCTTTGGTTCGGTTCCCTCCGGGTTCTATTTATGTTCTCTTCAAGGACTAATCTAATAAGCCACTTCATGCTAGTATCGATAACAGGTAAGGACTTACTGTATTATTCCTCTCAGAGAACGTTTGCATTTTCAAGGGATCTTTGATATATTAACCTCAGGGTAAGACTTTTAGGGATTTCAGGCTCCTTGGCTTCTTGCACAGGGTACTCTTGGGCCCCCTGAAATTATAACAGGTAGGCAACTGCCTCTGCTGTCTCTGAATAATGATCTATCTGTCAGACATATGGAAGGGTGATGCATACTAAGCATTAAATGATGTGGTTTTAGGGGTGCAGGGACCTCAAAACTATCAAGGTATAGGACAGAGTCATCTGGGAAGAATTTGTGGACTCAAGCAGTATTCCAGTCAAGTGGCAAAAAGTTTATTATAACCCTAATAAAATGGGCAGAGCTCCTTAGGGAACCTAATGGAGGTGATGCTTAAGCTTACACAGAAAAAGTTCAGTGAGTGGTGTGTCAAGTATGCTAATTAGGTGGTGACTTGCAGTTTCTGTCCCTTGGGCACAGGTGTCATTCACTACTGGCAACTCTGGGGGGGGTGACATATATAGCTTGACCTCTGGATTGTATACAGTAACTGTGGGAATAGTTCTGCTGGTACAAGATAGTTCTATTCATACAAGGGAAATTCTACAGAGGTCAGCTTGTTCTTGCAACAAGAAGAGATAGTTTGCCTCACTGAGGCCCAGTCATGAGTTATTGCCGGAGATAGGGTCTTTGGGTTGGGGAGAGATATGGTCCTAGGGCTAGGGTCCAAGCACTCCATCAGTAGTAGGCACTTCCCAGTCTTGTAAGTGTACTGGAAGATCTTTCCTCCCAAGTGGCAAGACTTAGGGGTTGAGAGGTTGGAGAGATTCTGAAAAACAAATGCAAAAATCACAGTATCAGAGGCTCATCTATAACTGCTCTGTTACTGTCTTAATTGAACAAGAGCTATTAGAAATACTCTAAGAGACCTTTAAGGCTTCACAAGATATTGCCTTTATATACAATGCCTACTTCTATGAAACCCCTTAATCTTGCCTGGTTATCCAGCTAAGGAAAGATGACTGGAATCCACCCGGGGAAAGTGGAGAAAACAATGGAGGATCTTCTAGGAGAATCAGAAGAATGGTAGATGGCCTGTACTTGCTACCTTCTCTCTTCATAGGTAAAAATAGAGAAGTGGAAGGGAAAGCATTTAAACCTACTATGTGCCAGGCACTGCAATAAACATAGCTTCTCAATTGATCCTCAAAACAACCCTGTGAGATAGGTGCTATTATTATTCTTATTTTACAGTTGAGGAAACTGAGGCAAACACAAGTTAAGTGACTTATCCAGGGTCACATAATTAGTGAGTGCTTGAGGCGTTATTTGAATTCAAGTCTTTCGACTCCAGACCCAGTGCTTCACTATCTAGCCAGCCCAACAAACGTTTAAAGGAGTTTTAAGTATTTAGGAAGTTCAAATATTTCTTTAATTGCTTTAGCATTACAGGGATGGTGATGAAGATGGAGGTAGTTATTAATAAAGAGTAAGGGTTTTGCTCGGAGGCCCAAAATTGCGAGTTAAGATGTGGCTTTTTAGCTTTTCTCATGGTACCTAACCTAGTTCCTAGAATGCCTGCTGGTAGTCCCTGGAAGAAAAAGATCACTACTAACTCTGAAAAACAAATTCCAGAACTGAATGTTATGATTAATTTGTGGGAAACCTTAAGGTATTTTTGTCTCTTGTGATTATTCCCAAAGGTGGGGGATTATGCTATGATGTCCTCAGATTTTGAGATTGAATTTTCTCAGTGGAATACACTCTCCTCACTCCTGGTCCCTGCAAACTTGTAATAAAATTAATTCTTTGTTTGATAAGCCTAGCAATACACTTTCCCAGATTGGAGGATGTCAGATCTCAGTTTGATAATGTTTATACCTAGTTCTGCCTTTTTATAAGAGCTTCTACTCTCTTCAGTGGGCATTCTGAACCTGAATTGCCAAGACCTATTACCAGGGAAGAAAAGGAACAGGTCTCAAAGGAATGAATTTTAATGTTATAGCACATTCTGCCCCTCAGTTTGGAAGATGCAGGTTCTCTCTTCAGCTGCTAGGTCATGTTACAATTTTAGAATCTAGTTGGAACTTATATCTTGCCTGATTTAGACATTTTACTTAAAGATGCCAGGGCTGGGGACAAGCAAGGCTCTGTCTGTCTACTGCCCAGTTTCATGTGAAGCTTAGTTGCCTACAGGAATAGCTGAACTTTCCAAATTCAGTGGGTAGCTAAGAGCTCTTGTGTGCCTACCCTGCTGCTGAGCTCAGGAGACACCACTGATTTCAATTATGACTTCTACAGGAAGCTTCTAGTGCTAATCTCTACTTATTATACTGTTACTAATCATGACTAATAACAAATGAGCACAAAGCACTTTTTAAAATGCTAAGTAATATTACTTCATTAAATGCAACTTACTGGGATTTTCTTTTTTTGGGGTGTGTGTATATCTCACTTTTTTGTTCCTTTCAAATGTTGAAAATGTTATATAGCACAAAGACATGGATCTTTCCCCAATATTTAGAAATTATTGATTAGAAAAAGAAATAGTGGGATTTCTAGGGAAAAATAGAGGTTTTTTCTTTTCATCATATCTTCTGAGTAGTTTTTCTTCTCCAGACCAAATTCTCTAGCTTTAATAGGAAACTCTTTTAAGACAGGGATTTTATAAAGTGCTTGGCATAAATGCATATAATGTAATATATGTATAAATGTGTATGCATATAATAGAAAGGTATTACATAGATTTCTATAAATATATAGATAATATAAATATATACATACACATATGTATATATTTATATTAAAACAATGTGTTCTTACTCTAAGGTGGGGATTATTTAGTTTTTGAAAGCTGATCATTGAAAGATTGTTATTAATCATAGTAAAATAATCAGTGTTTTGAAAAAGGCCTGCATAGGTCTCCATGTTATTTGTGAATACCAGGGTACAGAAAACTGGGAGGCAATGGGGAACCTTGGAAAGGGTGATGGAATTGGAGTCAAAAGAACCTGGGTTCAAATCCTGACTCCACTACTTATTCCCTGTATGACCTTGAGGAGGTCACTTACCTCCTCTAGACCTCACTTTACTCAACAGTAAAATGAAGGGGTTGGGGGCAGCTAGGTGGTACAGTGGATAGAGCACCAGCCCTGGATTCAGGAGGACCTGAGCTCAAAGCCGGCCTCAGACATATAACACTTACTGGCTGTGTGATCCTGAGCAAGTCATTTAACCCCCATTGCCCAACCAAAAAAAAAAAAATAAAATGAAGGGGTTGGACTAGGCTTCTGAGGCTCTTTCCATTTCTAAATCTATGATCCTATGAACTGAAACCCAAATTCAATAGCAGAGTCCTTAAACACATGACGAATCCTTTATTAGTGTGCTTATAAGTGACACTGGTTTACAGAAAACCAAATGTAATTAAATAACATTTAACCTGAAATCTACCACAGACTCAAGATATACAAGTCACACTTGGCAAGCAAACTTTACAAACACTAGGTTGTTTAAGGTGAAAGATAAAGTTCTAGTAAGTGATTCTAGCATATTGAGTTTTTTTTTTTGTCTTACAGACAGTTCCTTTGGCAATAACTTCCAGTTTTAGCTTTTATTATATAAAAATATAACAAAATTTCATTATGTACAAACATTACATTACACAATGTACAGGTTAAAAACACTAAGAAAATGACAAGCTACAAGTGAACTAAAATCTAAAGCATGATAAAAAAATTAAATACTGCACATTTCATAAAAATTACATTAACTACATTTTTTTGTTTGCAAATACCAAACAGTACTGACGTGATTGGAAATATTTTCCAACAACTTCATTTTAAGGCACATCTTGCATATTTATATATACAACACTGAAACCAGCCAATAACTTAGGGGCTTTTGGAGTGACCTGTATATGTGTGAATACATGCAGTATAGGGTTAAACATTGTCATTGGTCCCTGACTGAGGGGGCAGATACCTAGCAGGAGGGGGTTGATAGAGGGGTACCCCAATTTCTTGCAGGTCTGGGAGTCTCCCTGGGCGAGGGGGAGAAAGCAAAGTGATTGTCCTGTCATAGTCTCTGTGCAATACTTTTTCATAGACACTCTGTAGCCCTACTGTCTTAGGTAGCTGAGCCTGGTAATAGTTGTCCCTTCGAAGAGGATCCCTAGGCAGGGAAGTACTCTTACAGAAGGTTGATAGCTGAGCTGATGGATGGGGGGAAGAGTGAGCATTGGTTCGACCACAGGATGGGCTCCAGCATCGGTCAGAGTGTCCTAGGATCTTACACTCAGCAGTACAAGCCCATAATCCTAAGGATAAAAACAGAAAAATAAAACAACCCATGAAGATTATGATTATACATACAGACCTATACTTCTTGATTCTTATATACTGTTGCCAAAGAAATGTTATTTGACACATTTGACCATATGACTCCCCTATTCAAGCCACTCCAGTGATTTCTTTTGCTTCTAGCATCAAATGTAAATTCTTTTGTTTATATCTTCAAGCCCTATGTAACCTGACTCCTACTCTTTCCAGACTAATTAGATATACATACTTACCCTCTTGTACTTTGTCATCCAGCCAAAATGACCTCCCTGTTTTTCACTCAGGCTACTCCATCTCCTATCTCTGTGACTTTTCATTGGCATTCCCCAATGCCTGGAATGCACTCCTTCCTCACTAGTACCTCAAAGAGTCCCTCTCTTCCTTTAAGATAATAGCTCAGGCCCTATCTTACTGATTCTCCCAAGTGCTAGTGTCCTTCCACCCAAAATACATTGTGTTTAATGACTTTGTATGTATTTGCAGTTGTTAATTTTATATTTTTCTGTATATATTTTTATACCTATTTATTGTCAGCTTCATTAAAATGTAAGTTGTCATTTCATTCTTTGTAGTTGTATCCCACCTAACAGTGTCTGGCATATAGTAGGCATTTAAATACTTGCTTATTCATTTATTTCTCGGGTATGTTTGAAAAATGTGGTTGGAAAAAAATGTTGAGAGTGATTACACATCTTTTCATGAAATAGCACAAATATCTGCCCTGTACCTTTCAATGGATGCTTTAAAACTAGAGGCATGAACAGATTTTCCTCAGACAAGAAGCTTTTCGTTCTTATTAAAGAAATCTAAACTGAGATATTGGCTATGATCTTCTGCCTAAAAGAATGACTTCTCAATTTTTGAATACCTCATTTAAAAAATTTATTTTAAGATGATAATTTGTGGCCAAGGCACATGAGAAGTACAAAAGGCTTAGGATTCAAATCCTAGCTTGGCAACCTGTGTGATCTGTGAAAGTCACAACCTTTTATCCTCTGTAATTTGGGGGGATTGGTCTAAATTGCCTCTGAGTGTACATCTCTGATGGTCTTCCTCTCAGCTTTCAAGCTATGATCCTAGGAATACTTTTTTTTTTTTAAGAAAAAAGAGGAAAAGAGAGGAAAAAAGGAGAGGTTAAAAGAGAAAGTACACACTATGAGTTTTGAGAAGCCCACTGTTGCAACGAAAATCGTATGGAATCCTTACCACTCTGCATATGGTTGATGAGGTCCTTTTTCAGGGCGTCTCCACTGATGTCAGAATCGCTGTCATTGAAATCACTGTCCCCCTTGCCGCTATCTTTGCCACTGAATTTCTCGGCTTCCCGACCAGAGATGGTGTTGAAGGAGTGACCTTTCCAAATGGCCACAGGAGGCGCCGGTTCCTTTCCATAACCCGGGGAGGAGCTGTAGGGCTGGAGGGGGAAAAAGGAGCGAGAGGAATTAGAAAGGAATAAAAGGAGTTAGGCATTTCCTAAGAGCTACCAGCCACCCCATCCCTACCTCCTTTTATCATATCCCTTCTTCTCCCCACCAATCCTAGAACCCCTAGGGGCAAGAACCCAGTGGGACGCCTAACCTCAGCATGTGCTCCCCGGAGCCGCTTCTGCCCTTCGTAAAGACAGGCATTTTCCCTGGCACTGCCGCAGCCCTCGGTCCCTGGTACTTCAGTGGCAGCCGCCACAGTCTGGGAGCTCTCCGCGGTGGAGCCTCCGAAGGGCGCTTTGCTGCTGCTGCTGCCTGTGGGGAAGGCGAGCACGTCGAACATGTTGGCCCGAGAGCTAGGTCCCAGATTTCGGTCTTCCGGGGAGCTCGGGGACGAGGGTCCCCCGCTGGCGCTCCCAGGCCTCTCCTCCCGGCGTGGCCCGCCTTTGCGCACCTCCTTTTTGCGGCGGTTACAGGTGGTGGCAATAGTGATGATGGCAGCCAGCAGCAGTGTGCAGCTCCCCGCCAGCACAATGATCACGATAAGCGGGGTGTCCCACTGCAGCGACCCCGTGCCACCGAGCCTGGGTCCTGGGGGACGGGAGCGCTCGGGGCCGCCAGCTGCTGCTGGCAGGGACGACCCAGTACCACTTCCCGCCGTCACGACGAAGCTAACAGTGGCGGTGGTGGAAAGCGGAGGGTGTCCAGAGTCCGATACTGTTAGCAGGCCTCGGAACACGCTGCCTGGGGGTTCCTGGGACAGGTCCCCAGTGAGCACTATCTCCCCTGACCGGCGGCTTATGGAGAAGGCCTCCCGTGGCTCCTGTTGCAGCAGGGCGAAGGTCAGCTCTCCGTTGGCCCCCTCGTCTGCATCCCGGGCCTGCACGCGCGCCACAGCCGAGTCTCGGGCTGTGCGCCCTGGCACCGCCACCTCCAGGGAGCCATTGGCCGGAGTGGGATGAACGAGAACCGGTGCGTGGTCGTTCTGATCCAGAACCCGCACCTGCACCAGAGTGGTGCTCGAGAGCTGTGGGGAGCCGCCGTCGCTGGCCTGGATACGCACGTCCAGCTGGCGCAACATCTCGTAGTCGAAGCTCCTCAGCGCATAGATAGCCCCTGTGGATGGGTCCACCGAAACATAGGTGGATACGGCCTCCCCACCTCGACCCACTTCGGCCTCTAACAACCGATAGGTTACCTTCCCGTTGCGGCCTAGGTCCGGGTCTCGGGCTGCTACAGTGGCGAGGTAGGCGCCCGGGGGATTATTCTCTCGCACAGACACCTCATAGATAGGGCGGGCGAAGAGCGGAGCATTGTCGTTCTCGTCTCCCACGCGCACGGTGTAGGGCTTCACAGTGCGCAGCGGAGGGGAGCCGCGGTCCTCAGCCACCAGGGTCAGGTTGTACTCGGCGATGCGCTCGCGATCCAGGGCCGCCGCGGTCACCACTAGGTAGCTGCCCGCGTAGGCAGGCTGTAGTCGGAAGTGCTCGTGTCCATAGAGGGCGCATCGCACTTGCCCATTAGCTCCGGAGTCCCTGTCCGAGGTACTGACCAGTGCCACGAGGCTCTCTCGCGCCGCCCCCTCCGGGATAATCGAGGCCACTCCAGGCTCCGAGCCTTCAGGCCCTGCAGAGGAGGCCGAGACAGGGGCGGAGAAGGAGGCGGCGGTGTGTGGGCCTGTAGGGTCGTGGACCGCGGTTGCGGCTACTGCCAGAGGGGTGATAGAAATGTCTGGCGCGTTGTCGTTCACGTCGCGGATTCGCACAATGACCTTGCAGGTGGCAGAGCGAGGCCCTGGGCCTCTGTCTTGAGCCCTTACGTCCAATTCGTAGGTCTCCTTCCGCTCATAATCCACAGGTCCAGCTAGAGTGAGGCGGCCTGAGCGCGGGTCCAAGCGGAAGAGACGCCGAGCCTCAGGTGGGGTCCGGCTACCGAAAGAGAACACCACATCACCGTTGGGACCCTCATCCGGGTCTGCGGCGTCTAGGTCGAGCAGCAGGGAGCCCACAGGTGCGTCCTCCGCCAGCTCCACTTCAGTGACAGCACCCTGTGGGAAGACTGGGCTGTGGTCATTGGCATCCAGCACCCGAACGCTGAGGGCAGCTGTGGCAGAGCGCGGGGGGCGTCCCCCGTCCTGGGCCACCAGCTCTAGGCTGTAGGTGGCCTGGCTCTCACGGTCCAGTTCTTGCAGCAGCACCAGATCAGCGCATTTAGCGCCGTCCGCTCGCGTCTGCAGCTCCACGCGGAAGGGGCTGTGTGGCTCTGCCAGGCGCAGGCTCTGGAGGGCGTTGGAACCCACGTCCTCGTCCACTGCTACCTCCAGGGGGATGCGGGTGCCCACAGCCGCACTCTCCGACACCTCCACGGGGATTTGGGAGCGGGGGAAGCGGGGCGAGTGGTCATTGATGTCTCTCACCTCCACCTCCACGTGCACCAGCCGGAACTGTTCCTGGGAGAAACTGACCACGTCGAAAGCCAGGATGCACTGCGGGGACTGCCGGCATAGCTGCTCTCGGTCAATACCGCTCTCCCCGACGGTCAGCTGTCCGTCAGCCTCTCTCACCCGTATCAGAGAGCTGTTGAACTGCTTCATCAGGCGGAAGCTCATTTCTCCGGGTGCTTTCATATGCATATCTTCGGCCAACGTACCTATAACTGTACCTGGGGCATCCTCCTCAAAAGTGCTATATCTCACTGTTTTGCTCAGGGCTACTGAGAATAGCAAGCAGAGGCAGAAAAACTGCAAAGGAAAAAGGTAGGGGCTGCCCCCTTGCCTGACAGGAGTCATGCCACCTGCTTCGATTTGCTCTTTTGAGAGGCTAGGGGCAAGTCCTCTTGCAGTACTATATATTTTATTTCTCAATTTAAAGCCTTTCGATTGTCAGGCTCCTATGAGCATGCTTTGCTCGAATTCTCTTCGGAAGAGGAGCGTGCAGTCTGCAGCTTGGGTCCTTCTAGCTCTAGAGATGCCGATGGACCCTCCCTCCCTCCCTGCTCCGGCTTCTCAGGCTTCCTAGCAGAGCTGCAGACTCTTGCCTTTAGTAGACGCGGATATGCAAATTGACTGAGCCTTACAGCCAATGACAGGCGTCCCTTTCACACTGTTCTCCTGAATGCCTCTCAGAAAATCCCTTTAATGTGGAAAGGCTTAGAGAGGAAAACAAGAAAGGAAAATTAGGGAATCTTGTCTTTGTTTTCTTTAACTCTTTTTCATTTTTTTTTTTTGAGAGCAATCCTCAGATGAGTTGGCACAGGGAGCGTGGAGTAAAATGAGCTGAGTGTTTTGTTAATTGTACCACTCAAGCACCCTGCTGCTGAACAGGTGCCTTAAGTGCAAGTATCTGGGGATTTGAACTAGTCGCTCACTACTACCTAATCTTGGTTCCCTTCCCCCCCGCTTCTAGTCTGTATATACTACTTTTCTTACATGTGCACACAACCACTTACCTCTCTCAATATATACTCTTCCTGGCTTTTGAGGATTTGGTTTCTTTTTCTTCTTGTTCAATAGCGATCTGATTAGCCCCTCCCACTTAAAAGAGACTCCGAAGGGTAACTGGAAATTGATTTTATTCAAATTTGCGTCCCTAATTGTGTTTTACTCATGTGAAATCTAGCGATCAGAGCTGTGATTTGTCTTTCAGAAAATATTCCTAGGATGTTTTAGTATTCATGTCACTGTCCAAATGGCTTTCTTTAAGCCGTGGGCGCTAGCAGGCAAGGGAGGGGGAAAAAGGTCCAAATAGGATTTAGCATAAGCTTGGGGATATTTGGAAAGGTTTCAAAGATCAGACTGTATCAAAGGCTTATGAAGCTCTCGTTAGCCGTAGAAATATAATAGCATGGCAGGCTATCCCATTTGAGGCACCGATGTCTGTATTATTTCAGTATGAGAAGGGAAAGGGAAAGAAAGTTGAACAGTTTCCACAGCAGAGTTGGACTAAGTTGAATATAATGAGCAAACGCCACATGTATCCATTATGTGTCTCTATTCATTCCCAATCACTGCCATAACTCTTTGACTAAACGATGATGGGCGCTGAATCACACACAATGCCCAGCTCCTATTAAAGTACATTTGGAGACCTATCCCTCCTGATGCCCTGTTACGCCTAGTTAGAGGATTTTCTTTTTGTCCTAATAGGGCCTCTCTGGGAAGCAACACTAGTCTCATTCCAAAAGAACAAAATAACAGCATGAGGTTGAAACCTGGCACGAACCTTGGGGGACTTAAACCATCTGCCTACAAAAGTACGAAGATAGAGCAGAGTGAATCACTAAGTTTTACTGTTCCTCCATCCACAGGGATACAGTAACATTACTAACAAATGCAGTGAGCTGGATACTTATCTTTTTTTTTTTCCTTGAAAAAATTCCTGAAGCTCAGGGTGACTAGACTGAAGGTGACTATTGCCTGATTACAAATACATTCCACTTGAGCCACACTTGTAAAATAAACAAAACAAAGGAAAGGAAAGGGAAATATTTATGAAGGAGAACAAGCATAGGACTCAATAACTTATTAAGCAGATTCTATTGAATAACTGATATTTTGAAATAGTCAACTGGTTATCCTTGATTTTTATAAAGAATTTCAATCCCCTCTCAATCTCCAGTGTCTGAATGACCTTCCCGGCTTTCATAAATGCTTTTGCTTAGTCGTTGCCCGTATAAGTGGCCTACATGGGGGTGGGGGAGGGGAGAGAAAGAACAGAGCGGTAATTTTTTGACCTTCGAATAAGCTGAAAAAAGTCCTATGTTTAAGAAAAAGAGAACCTTGCAAGACATAAATTGCATAACTTTTCTCCCCGTGCCCTGAGGCCTACCTACCTATCCCTTCTCATTTCTTTTTTTTGCTAAAAGAAGTGAGGTAAGTTATCTGCAGTACTGGAAAACTGCGAAACAATGGAATGTGCAGAAAACTTCAGAGCAATAAGGTGATGTCTTTCCATAAATGCCACCTCTAGTGATTATTTGCCACCTTTGCTGACCCTCTCTTCTCTTCTTCCCCCACAACTGCCTTGTAGCATCTTTTTTTCTCCATTAGGAAGGAATCCTATGTGCAGGTAAAGTAATTTTGACTTTCTTCCAATCCTCTCTAGGTTCTGGAGAGAAACTTTCACTGACCCAGCTCCGTTTTCTGGTCTTAACCTGATCATCCACCACAACTTCACAATCCACCCCTCCCCCTTTCCCTAAAGCCACTGACTGCTACCAGTTCAGAACTCAACCCCTGCGGACAGCGAACTTGTCGCCAGAGGTGACAAGGAAAATGTCAGGCACCTGTAGAAATATTTACTGTACAGAGAAGTCAAGGAAGATGTGCAAGCTAGACTGACTGCTCTGTGCCAAAATCTTATCTGTCATTGAATCAGGGAAAGGTGACTCTAGCTGCTACCTTGAGTAATAACATCTGCCCAAATCTCAGCTGGTAGCGGCATGCATTCTTGTGAGCAATAAGAAGCATTTCTAGTTGCTCACTTCTACTCTCAGAAAACCTCCCTATGTTGTCAGTGTGTGTCCACGGGTCTTGGATGGGAAACAACCCTATTACACCAACCTATTACAACCTAAACATAGAAAGACCTGGGGGAAATTGCGTATCGCTGTTTATTTTTGTGTTCTTTTTCTACCTTAGAGAATTGGAACATCCTGTTCCAAAGTTAAGCCACTTTCTCTTAGTGAGTCATGGGTCTCTGGGCTTGGGTTACGATGTTTTTAAGACTCTGCATGCGTTTGAATTGCTTATGAGGCGGAAGGTCAGGCTGACAAGGAGAGAGAAGGAGAAAGAGATAAAAAAGGGCTGATAGATGAAGGAGGAAATAGCTTGAGGGAAAGAGACGAAGGAGGAAATAATAAATGTAGGTAGCGGGTTTCCTCATTCATTTTCTACACTGTCAGGTCTTTCATCGCTATGGAAGCAGCAGCTAGCAGAGCATGTGCCAAGAACCCCCAAGCCCAGGTCTGTAATGAGTACTTAAGATCCCTTTTAGAAGTAATTACCCCGAGAGGTGTGATGGCACGCGAGCGAAGCGAGCTCGGGTGCCTGCGGATTGCCAGTATTCTGCAGCCCTGCTGGCTGTAGCAGTCAGATTATGGAAATGGGATTTAAAATAGCGCATCAGCTCTCGGATCAAATCCCCGAAGAGGAAGGAGCAGGGTTAAAAAAAAAAAAAAGTTCGCCCAGCGCTGATCTGGCGGTACAAAAGCTGCTCAAATCGCCTTGTTATCATACCAAAAGGCTTGGGCGGCCTCAAAGGAGTCCCTTTCTCTTTATCTTAGCAACTTAGCAGACAACTGCCTCGGCAATCATGAGAACAAACATGACCTACAATGGTTGGCATTTTCTCGGAATGCAAATGTTGTGGGCTCAGAAAAGCTGGATTTCTCTGACTCAGCCTAATACCAGCATTGTGAAACTCGTGTGCAGACAGCGAGATTGACATGGGTGTCACGTGATGGATTAGATCTATAGGAAAGTTTTCAAAGACTCGACAATGGGTGGCTCAGCTTGATCTGATATCTCCCACAGTTTAGAGGGGGAAAGAATCAGGATATATTCTCACGTGTAATAGGATTATCTTTTCCATTTCAAGTTCTATACAGCATGTAATTTATTTTTAATTAGGATTAGATCTACCAGGAAAGAGAAACTAGACTACTGGAAAGTGCAATTCTAAGGATGGTTGGAGAAAGAAAGGTTATATTTTAACCTTTTAACTTTTTAAAGCCCAGGACCATGTTTTCCCCTCACACACTCTCTTCATGAGATAAACCTCCCAGAGAAGTTTGTATCAAATGTTCAGTGAAGCAGGGATCAGAAGGTGCTTTTCAGATACATCCAGTTCTTTCTTTGTAGGGGAAGCCTGCTTTACAAAATAGCCCTTACAGGTCCTAAGACATTGGACTTTGCTTGAGTTAGCTTTCCAAAAGTTGAATTGTCTTTTCCACAGTTTGGATTCTCACTAGTGGGTTCTTTTTTTTTTTTTTTTGATTGTGCCAAAAATGTATTTTCAAAAATTCATCTGTAGGTACTGGAGCAGTCATTCTTAAATGTAAAATATGACCCTAAATAATTTTTTAAAAGGAGGATCTTTGATTCCCACAGTTCTAAATCAGCTTCTAGAAAGTGGGGAATGTCTATGGGCATGAGGGTTCACACTACTGTGAAAATGAATTTTTTTAACTCAAACTATGAACTTTATTTTATGTTGACTGCCCTTATTTCCAGAGGAACAAAAATCTTTCACTATTTCTAGGCATTAGTCCAAGGCTCTCCCTTCTTCCAAGTTCTGCATGTCTCTCACAAAACTAATCAGGGTTTCCTCCAACCTTCCTTTAAACACTAATCATATAGAATCATACAACCTGAGACTTGGATGGGAAATCATATAGTGAAACACATTATTATTATTACAGATGAGAAATATATCATAAAAGTCAAAACCTGAATGTTTAACATTCTTCAAAAGGATGTTCACTACTGCTTTAATCCTTGGTAATTCACTTGAGATGCTGTAATGGAATAATGCATTTTGGATAATTACCATTTTCCATGTCTGTTTGTTTGCCTCAGTAACATCTGTGCTTCGAATTTGCTTTCTGGCAAAAATCTAATCCCATTTATAGAAGTAAACATAGTGATAGAAACATGGATTATGAAGTCTATATTCTTGTTTTCAGGCCTTTACAAAATATATCAGTAGTCTTCTGCACCTGACTGCAACAAATATTGACAGGAAGGAACTTCCAATGGCTTTTTCAGTCATTTCTGTAGAGGGTATGTATTATAGCCCAAGTCAAATAAGGTAAAATTAAATTTGTTTTGGATTCAGGAGCCAGGCTCTGATTTTTTAGGAAACAGAAGAGCATTTCAGTTTTCAAAGAAACAAAACTTAAAGGAAATATAAAAAGCAGCATATTGTCAT